CGTAATCGCTGTTATATATGATGCGTAATGGCTGTCTTCCTGCTCGTTAGTCTATGACTTTGTGAATACTCTTTGGTTGCGCTTTGTATCAGATTAGAGTAAATAACATTATTGACTTTAATTGGTTTTTTTAAGGTTAACTCTTGGGCAACATACATTAGACTTTCTAAATCGATTTCTTATGATTCGTGATAATTTAAAAATCTCAATGCGTCAATTTAGTTTATGTCTTGTTAAGATTATTTGGCTTTATTAAGAAAAATATTAATAATTCAATAGTAACACGCTCGCACTATGTACAGTGTGAGTGTATTAAAATCATCTTCATTAGCCTATTAATATACAGCTGGGACTTCCCGATGACTGGATTCGAAGCGAATAGGGACAATGGGCCATGTCTAGGGTTCCTAAACCTGCCGGAATGCCCGGGCAAATCTAGTAATAATGATTTATCTTCCAAACTGCCGGGTCGCAATAATTTCTCCAACATGTTACAAAAGCAAAATTAATTTCTTAAATATTAAAATTTGCCACTATCTCACCTACATCATCCATGATCGAGTTCACAGCACCATCATCATCATCAGAATAACTATTTAATGCCCACTGTTTCCTAATAACACACGGCACCAGAACGAATTGGTTGTTAATAACTGATTCAGCCGGTACCGACGACTTACCATGCCTTCCGATCTTGGGTTAACAATTAAAATATTTGCAAAATATCTAACCCAATCACCACTACCCATGCCAGTTTCTTTGACTATCGAACTCAAATGAGCATCGAAGCTCTAAAAGCTCGAAATCAGATACAAAATGTCAACATTTTCTTTATATATATATATATAAATTATTAGACTTCACATACATTGCTCGGTAGTGCCACCGCCTTATCTAACCATAAAGTATGACATCTTAGCAACGCCATGCCGTTTTTCCGTTTCATTTTACAATCCATAACATTGCTATGAAATCGTATCTTATCCTAGAGAGTTAGGTGATCACACCCATGATCCTGAATTAATACAAGACCCAGACCGAGACAATATAGAAAAAATGATCTTCTGCATTGACGTGAATGAGTATCGTACCCGGGACCTCATATATATCGACACCTTATACTCGGCATGCGAGTCAGTCGCTGAAATAAGACCTATTTTTATAGTTCCTTTATTTTTTAAGATTATTAAAACCAATATCTCTTTTTTAATGACTACTAAGTAGTATAATACGATTCATCTGACTGGTCTATTTAGGCGAAGAAACACTCAAATTTAAAAAAAATATATAGTAACCATTTTCCATATACGAGTACATAAATAAGCAAAGGAATTTGAATGTTCAATTTATCCGGTATCGGCCACTGTCACCTTTTTAGCGATTTTGTATTTATGAAATGGAAGTAAAGTGTTGAAATATTACATTATTATAAGAGAAATGAGAATAATAAAATCATGTTAAAAATTTGGCGATGTTTTAAAATAACCAGCAATTTAAACATTATAAATTTCGTGTTATTACATAGATATAACATTAGATACATAATTATTATGTGTTAGTCATGATCTAATAGAGAATACAATGACCATTGAAGCCAATGATCTCATTACATCCTACGCTTCTAACAACTTTGTAACGAGCTATACTCAATATTTCATTAAAAGATCAACGAACACTGCAAATCTCTTCTACACACACACACACAATTTTAGTGTGCATACTTCTGACAAGTGTTTACTTAGCAGTGCTATTAAAAAACAAGGTTTAGCTTCATAGTAAATTTAAGTATTAGTACAAATTCATGTTATACAGAGAATAAACAAACGTACTACCTTCTAAGAGTGAATATTACTCCCATTGGACCTCGTACTAGGTTAACCTTTGATAAGTCTTTGTTTAGTAATATGATTTTTGACTAATACTAAGTTTAGTCTAAGCGTAAATTTACTCTAACGATAAACCTTTTTTATTAATAACACTATATAAGTATTTTTTTAACTTGATGTAATGCTGTGCCTTTGTGTACAAAATGTTCAGGCTTTAAGTACTTTAAGAATGCTTATATTAAAATGTTTACTTTTAAATTAGTCTTCAACTATTGTATACGATATTATATGCGCTATATTTTTAAACCATGAAGAAATATGAACGCAAAAGATTGTCAGTTATTGTAACGACATTTACAAAATACTCCAAAGTTAACAATGGCCATTTACAAAAACTCATCATTCATCATACAAACCTATGTGTCCCACGCAGGTTTCAAATACTTGGTCTGTTTCAAACCAAGTCACAATTTTCATTTAATTTTTTTTTGTATATTTAAAGTTCGTTGATGTCTTTTCTTAGCATAGATAAGAAAAAGGCGGCTAAGAAATTTCGCAGATAATAAATATTAATATATGAAAGTATTTTATACATTTAAAAATAAATTAATATAAAAATACTAATTACAATTATATAAATCTATTAAAAAGTATAATTTAATACAAACTAACGCTACGTGTCTGATTTTGAATTAGTCGGTCGTAGCTCTGGACTGGGAATCATGCTTAAGTTTTATTATGCATATTCATCTTTATTATTTTATATCAGCTTACAATCAGCGTCTCTCCTCTCCTCTTAATTTTGCATATTAATATCCGTTGAGTAGTTCAAAACAATGTAGTTTAAATAACTCAGCATACAGACAGCGGGAAGTGACTTAATTTTATTTTAAAGATTCTAGATATGCATACTCATTTCATTACTATGTTAGATTAAATGATTTTAAAAATTATAATTTCTAAAACATATTTTCTAACAAGAAATATTTACCAAAATGAAATTACAGTCAGCAAATGAAGAAAGCAGGAAACCATTAGAATAACGATAAATAATTTCACGATACAGGCGAATATATAACATCCTCCTTGGGGGCCGTCCCTTAATCACGTGAGGTTTGAAGGGGGGGGGGGGGGGGGAATTACACAAGGGGGAGGGGAGTGATTAAGAAAGAGTAAGATTTTTTGTAGGTACTCGAATACACGAGATTAGGATGGAGGGGAGGGGGGTGTTGAAAACATTCTGAAAAAAACATCACGTGATAATTTGGTTGGCCCCTTGCATTATTACAAAATTACAAAGTTAAAAAGCAGTTACTGGACCCATCATTAGTCCCCATCTCTGTGTCGACGTCGAGAAATGTGACTTTAATGTACAGTTATCCAATTATAGTATTATCATCCACCGGTAACCGCATCGCTGTCTAAACAAGGAGTGGCCCTATAAAGAATTTTATTTGCGAAACATCTAATTTGACATAGTGATGGGAAAAAACACTTCTAACTCGAGTTACTTTTAAATCGAGTTGACTCGATTAGGCCAGCTGTCAGATAAACAAGTAAAGAGAACAAACGTATAAACGAGAGAGTGACCCGTTAGTTATGTGTACGTCTTGTGTTCCCATGTATCTCTTGGATGAAATATCAGTTCGCAGCACTAAATCTTCACTGTTGGGACAAATACATAACATATAAATATAAAAGTAAAATAAGTGAAAAAGTGAATTCACCGCAAGCGCCGAATGATGGTGGATGGCATCGATTAGCGGATGTCAGTACTTTAACCTGAATTAAAACAGCATCTAATATAAAATACCTTGTTTGAGATGACGCGACGTAGGAATCGTTATAAATGCCTATGATAGAAATATTTAATCATTCAAATATACAAAAAATACAATCACTACACAAATCATATCAAAAAAACATCCTCCTCCCAGCCACGAACAGGAAGTCGAGAATAACATATCCTTCTTTTCTTTTATTTAACTTCCTACTAATTACAGTTAAACTACTAGGAAAAAATCTTTTAACAAGCTATTTGAAATAAAATAATTTAACCGTATTTTTAAATCGAGTCGACATTTTTCCGGATTGACACATCTCTAATATGGGAACCATAAACTGCCTTCCGCGTTAACTGTGCCGCGTACGAATTATCACAACATAACTCTAATCAAAAAAGGATCGCAGGATGTCGCCGGCGTTGTGCGTCGGCGGAGTCATAGTAAAACAAAAAAAGTACGTCAACTCGAGGCCTGTGCAAGCAATAGGTAATTAAATCGTCAGAAATACATCGTCATACGGCGCAGAGTATGCACGGGCATGGCATAGCCACGACTGGAGAATTCTCGCTTGTACCTTTGGCTCCAATATGGATATTTTTTAATTGTGTACGTGCGACGACGCATACGCACGGGTGCGCTCATACAAACCGTTATAGGTGCGCATGTATGAACTCAACATACTATTTGGTTTTACTATGGCGGAGCGGCTTGAGCGCATGTCAGATATGGGCATCACGTTTGCGACAAGCAAATTGACAAAGGCCTGACGAGGAAATGTCAACTGCTTCTTTATGGATATTCTTCTTTAGGAACGGACACCAGTGCTTTTGATTTATAAAAGGGAAGTCACTGAATAAAGGTTCATTCATTAAAAAAAAAAGTATTTTAAGTTCTTTTACACAAGAAACCACCTTTTAATAATAATAAAAATAATAATAGCGATATCTACATAAACCATGTCATTGAAGTGAGTAGTAACAAAATACACAAGTATATTGTTCAACTAAGAAGATCAAAATTACCAGTGGGTAGCGAATATTTAGGCAAATTGTTATTCTTCTTAATAATTAACCTACATTTCGTCACAGACTCATTCCACTACTTGGTTTTAAAATAATGGAAAATAAAAATCACGGTTTGCAAATATTCAATATTAAATTAACTTAAGTAAATAGGTATGTCGAATCATTACATTATGTCCATTTCTGTAGCAACTACAAAAAAATCGTGATATAAAACAATAAATCAATATATGTACATACCTCATTATTTTCAACTTGCTATAGATACTTTTGAATTTCTTTGCTGACGTCTAATGTTCGAAATAATTAATACAAAAATGTAACAACCCTTAAAATAGCAGCAGAAAGCACTCTACAGTCATTAAGCAAATAGGCTAGAGTAATTCAAAGGTTAATTCATAAAAACATATTTCTACGTATATTGGAATGATATTTATTTTCATTTTTATATTAATAACAAAATAATAAAAAACACTTTTCATACATTTTAACACATATGTGTGTGCGTATAAAATATATAAACATTTATCGCAACAACCATTGGATTTTTTTAGCAATAAAAAGTTTCTAAGTTTTACAAAATACAATAACTACTAAGTTTATATTTATTTTCAATGCCCTCTATGGATTGACAACAAAGTTTCTATGTCGCTACTCGACACTAGATGGCAATAATAAAGCAAGAATAGATACCCGTATTAACAAGATGATTACTAGATGGCACTGTCTTTCTTTGTCTTAAATCTACTAAAGATGGCGCTCACTACCTTATTCTATTTCGTCTTTTTCATTAATGATTTATACTTTTTATATACCAACCAAAATAACAATCCATTAATAAAATAAGTTGAAATACATACTACACACACATCACGCAGAACGAATGCAAGTAAATAACCTAAATATACACTTGAGGTACATGCAGCGAAGGCCAGGATCAACTGAAGTCTGATAACACCGATGTGGTCGAAAGTAGCTGTAAAAAATATTCTATTATTTATTTATACAAAATTACTACATAAAAAACACATAAAAGTATTAGCTAAATTAGGTCTTACACAAACACTTTTTTGATTAAAATAATAAGGTTTTAATTTCTTTTTAGTTTTAAGTTTTGTATTTATTTATAAGCAATCATAAATATATAAAAAAGACATTGAAAATATAATTAATTTTTTTATTAAATAAAAAAATTATTAAATAAAAAAATTATATCACTTTCAATATTTTTCATGACTACTAAAAGTCTACAACCACAGTACGTGTACACAGTAATGACGTGCACTTTATAGGTACTGTTTACTGTATAATAAAAACATCTATATCAAAGCACAGATACATATAAACTATAGTACATTAAATTAATATAACATAGGGAAAGATTTTACTGTTTGTGAAATTACATAAAGTGTGAAAACTCTTAATATACCTTATAAATAAGAGCAATTATGTATATTACTTATGTATGTGCAATTATGTTAATTAATAAACATAATTTCGTAATATGTATATCAAATGTGCCTGAAATCATTATGATTATAATTCCGTTTTGATTTTAATACTAAATATTTTGATGGATTGTAAATTGTCGAGATCAAACAATGAGGCCGGGCGGAGCGCGCGGTATAATTATTTCTGTTAGGGCTGTTACTCGCACAAATATTATTGAAGAGATGATTTAACTTTAGTACTTAACAATGAAAAAGGTAAAATCAATCAAATAATTTGAAATTTAAAAAAAAAGTTATAAATATTTCTTTCAAGATTTGTTAAAATAGTATTAGTTCGTGGTTTTTTTTTTCTAAAGTTGTTTTTAGGAAGCAAGTTATAATAAAATACGTTTTAATAAGCCTATTCCATAATTTTATGTTACTTAAATCAAAGCAAATGAATAAATTGATTTAATAAAACAAAAAAATAGGTTAAGGTTTCATTGAACTGATATTGTAGGTTATAACGAAACACATAAAAAGAATATTTAATATCGATATGGACGAAACCCTCTGAGTGCTAGTTTAACTAGGTCTTTGCCAGGTTTTATATCAGCAAAATGTTATTTGCAAAACAAGGGAGGTACTATAGTTTTGTGAAGTATAAATATTATCAACTCTAATTCTAAAGAACAAATTTGATGTAACTTCCCGTAAGTGAAATAATTTTTAAGATCATTCCAGTAGTTGGAATGTCTACGATTAAACTTTCCACTTTATAATATTAGTATAAATTATTACTGGTAGTATCGAATTATATATACTGTGGTATTTTTATCTATAATAAATATCAATTGAATTTAAAAAAAATATTGTAGCGAAATAATGAAAAAAAATCTGTCAAAATGTCAGTCTAATTGAGAACAAGGAATATGTGTCTGATTCAAAAAGATTTAAATATATTTTATTACAATACGTAAATATTTTTCGTTAAATAAGTTAATCCAAATTTAGTAAAAATATATCATATTACAATAATTCAATTTTGTAATAATATGAAAATAACAGATAAATCTATCACAGCCCTAGATGAAATGTTTATGAAATAAAATAATACCTTCAAATAAATTTCATTTATGTTTCATGAGCATATTCCGTGGTGGTTATTAGCATTTCATAGAAGCAATAAAAGCTCACGCGAGCTTCGATATAATATTAATTGTTTAAACGTAATTGTAAAATACTGGAATTTAGTTATTCAGTTTAAGGTATTACAAACATTTTTGAATATCCAAAAACAATAGTCTCGCAAATCTATGAATTTGGAAGATTCTAATTCTGATTTAATATATAGACTACTTTTCGTCGCACTAAACGGTCATCTAGAAATAAGTATAACACGCGGGCGAAGCCACTGACGGAAAGCACGTAATATTCATACGTTTTAAAAACAAGTTGTTTAAAAACAAGTTTTCTAAAATTTCAAGCAAATCAGCAATGGCCTCGTAAAAACATTGCTCGTTGACCAATAGTAGAAACATGGACTCTACGGGCGGTATACACGAAAAGATCTCCGTGAGATTGAAGTTGATAGGGTAGACCGTGAGCGGAATCAGAATTGACGATTATCGAGGATGTTGCCGAACGTACAAGTGTGCTCAATAAAACCTTCCATAGGTCTTAACAAAAATCATGGGTAGAAGCGGTCTTTTCGACCAGTGATTGCATATTTAAGAAGTTCCACAATAAGGCTTGACTAGAATACCTAAAGGACTACGAACGTTATTGGCTAACCTATTTTGATTATTTTTTTTTTTTTGGTTTAAAGAGTATTTCTCCAGATTTTGAAATTTTATAAAACAAGTAGTTTTTTTTTATATCAAAAACATTACAACTACATGTTCTAGATTATCTTGACGATGTCGTTATCCCCAAAATTCAATGATTAAAATTGTTTTTAAACTAACTCAGACTTCAAAAAAGTTAGATAATAATTGTTAACTAGAAAGGCGGTTAAAATTTAAATAACTTCATTTTAAATCAGGCGATCAAAACGTGACCATAAAATCTTCGTCAAATCAAAAAGCATTATTTTTTTACTCAGTCGTAAGTCAGTCTTAGGTTTTTAAACTAATTCTATCCCCTAAAATTAACCCTTAATAACGTGATATACATTTAAACATATCCATCCAGTTAAATCCCGTTTCCGAACTCACGAACATGCAAATACCCCGCAAGTGTTTCGCTGTTACTTCGCACTTCCCAGCAGTACAAATGTTAGCCTATTACGATAACAGTTATTCACAGCTCGTGAGCTACCAAATAAGCGTAGTGTAAGCTCGGTTTCGCAATATTTTTCCCTGGTGCAGTCACGACGGCTCTAGCACGACCGGCGAAGTGCGAATTGCAAGATATCGATGTTATTGAACGATTATATTATTCGCTTCGCTATTTGTAAGCTTAATCACTTTTGCGCACATTAGGGCTATGAAAAGGTTACATATCATTTTTATTTTTTTATTAAATAGTCAAAAATAAAAAAAGTACTATTCAGTAATAACAACTCAACACAGTCATCGCATAAAGGTTCAGTGAAATAAAACCTGTATAACCTATTGAGGTAAATAGGTTAAAAAATATTAAAATCCCGGAGATACTTCTAGACATTTGATGAAAATTCCGGACTTTCTCCTAAATATAAAACAATAAATATGACCTGTGAAATATTCTACAAAAGCTATTACTCAAGATTTGGAAGTACTGAACTGTTTGTCTGGAACCATTACATATCAAAAATGATGTTTATCATCATTGATTTATAATAAAATTAATATAGTTGATTTCAATTATGCTTGATCCGGATGATTTCCGATTCCCGCCGCATCTCGGACTGAGTCCTATAAAATACTATTTTTAAATTACTACTAAAAAATAAGGCACTCAGTACCTATTACTAATCCTATTTACATAGTCAAAAGTGTTTTTTTTTTTTACAAAATTATCCATAAAACAGTGTGATAATTGCTCACACTACAATTGAATCAATAATTATTACAAGTGTGTTACTACCATTACCATACTCATAATAGGTAACTACTAGCTGTTGTAAAATACCGCTGGTCATTAGCTCATTGATAAATCCCGGCTAACATCAAAGGAAACAGTTGCGAACTATTATCGGAAGTTTGTGTAAACTTTTTTCGACTGCTGTTTGTTTGTTGTTACTAACTCGATGGCTTATCAGTTTTCATCTCGGGAGTATGTGGCTATGCTAAGTGTTTATTTTTTATCCGGTGATATTGCGAGTGCCGCTGTACGTATGTACAGAGAACTCTATCCTGCCGCTCGACAACCTAACTATCGAACAGTCATAAATTATTTTCAGCATTTACTGGATTACAGTTTGTACCATGCGCCGTCTCTTAGCCAAGGAAGAGGAATTCATCAGCCTATTCACAAAATCTGTATGACGATGTGATGGCTTACTTTGAACAAGATACCCAGCGAAGTACAATGACGCAGCTCGACATTTTAGCATCAACCAGTACTGTGAATTGAAAATAGTTAATGCAGCTGGACTGCATCCCTATCACAATCGAAATGTGCAAGAGTTGACAACTGTAAAATATGAGCCGAGGATTGCCTTATACAATTCGATACCGGCTAAAATTGGTAGGTCAATTATTGTTCTACTCGTACAAATTTACATGACACTTGAGGACCTATTTTATTTGTCCTCAAACGAAAATTCGGAAAATCTCAAATTGTTATTATGATTTTTATTAAAATCATATCTGTGAATCTGTGTAAATGACTTTTTGTTTTATTGCTAGCAATCAATTTGATATTTTCAGTCTTTTATTTTTTATTGCAAATTATTACCTAGTCAAAAAAGTATTTTTCCGGTCCTAAGCCCCATTAAAGTATGAAGGAAAAGTTCGAATATTAGAATAAAGTGCCTATTATTTTGAAGGCCAATGTCAATGTCCGGTATATGGAATGTAAGTACATTCATGTATGTACGAACACTGTGGCACGGTCGCGGAACAGAGAATTTTTCAATTTTGCTATTGCGCTCGCACATCGATGCATCTGCATCTACTCAATTTTGTTATAGTAAAGTGAACCTAAAATACGATATCTACCTGTAGGCATACAGGTCAATGTACGAAATTTGGTCGTTGTCAATCGTGTCGTCTCGTTCGTTCAACGACTGATAGAACGAGACGACATGATTGATTGAACATTTGTGTTATGAATGGGTTAAAAATTACGCCCTGAAATGGAAATATAATTTGAGATATAAACAAATGTTAATAACTTAGTTGTTTATAAATATTATAAAATTTAAATTACACACATTGAATAAAAAGGGCTTCCTTAATTAGCTCTTAAGTTCCTTAATTAGTTTTTAGTAATTAAAAAGTAGTATTGTATATCCGAACTTGTCCGGTAAATTACGGACATATGGCAACCCTAATCACAAGGATATGCTGCACTCAACGACGAGTTCGACACTGAATTTTTAGCAGAATAGCACTGCTGATGAAGTAACTATTGGATGTATAGTATTTTAATGTCTATTAGACTTATTTTGTACGAATAAAAAATCATTTTCAATTCAATCTCTCTTGAGTAAGTATAATAAAAGCCATTGTACCCATTATTAAAGTAAAATAAAAAACTTTTTAACAATGCCGTAAAGCGAACCCACAAAGCCATTAATACAAAGTCTTCCGTTACGAATTTCTTTGAAATTCGTACGCTCGCTATAACTACCTACTACATTTAATTGCCGAACTATCGGAACAATCCGTTTAGCTTTTTGTAGGATGTGTTTTTTATAAAACGAAAAAAATACCACACTACATGAACTTCGAGCCGTCGCGCAATGCGCTGCATCGGTATACAACCTATACATAAATAGTCTATCGGATTTAAAGCACGGAGAGTGTACATAAATGGAAAAAAACTACAATCGAATGACCGTACGCTAAAAAAACTGCCAAAAAAGAGAGATTCGTGTACGTAGTTACAGTATTCAAAGATCACTTTGCATCAATAAATAAAACAATATCCATTCTCTACAATTAATAATATCTTCCTAGAGGAATTCCATCCTGTGCTCCGTTACAGTAATACTGTCACACGTATTATTAACATATCGAGTACCTACATCTTATCCCACTTTTCTTAGGGATATATCTACTTTCAAGTTATTGTGTACACCACGCGTGAGAACCAACGCGAACCTACAAAAATGTTACAAAGTATAAGGTAACCACAAACGTTTAATTTATTAATCCTTCCTAATATTCTATAAGATGCTATGGTTAAGTACCATAGCATCTTATTAAATTTTTTTTACCAAAACTATTGCAGTTTTAAGTCCTCGACGCAAAGGATGGGGTAAGTATTTTAAGTTTGACGTGTCTATTTGTCTGTAGCAACCTAGCTCGTGAAATAATGAACCGTATTGATTTTTTTTTAATTCGAAAGCCTTGTTCATTGCTATGGTTTTTAACTATATTAAAATGGGATAAGTAATTTAGGGGCTACAGGTACTTTACCAAGACAAAGTAGCTTCTAAAGAAATAGGCCAATTTGATTTGAATTATTATTTTTGCGATAGCCCCTTTTATCAAGATCATTTTGATATAAATTTTAAGTATTAGAATTTTCAAAGTATTATCTACTTTCATGTGAGCTGTATGTTTTTTGAGTGCAATAAAACCTTATATTATTAACTAGCTGTGCCCGTAATTTCGTCCACATGGAAAGTAGCCTAACTTACCCCTTATTACGTAAGCTAGCAGCCAGTGAAAGTCCCGTCAAAATCGGTCCAGCCGTTTCAGAGATTAGCCGAAACAAAAAAAAAATATAAATAAGAATACGTACCGTGTAAACACACATATGTATTTAGTGAAAAGTGGTTATTTTAACATCTATTTGTAACAGACACTCAAATTTTATTTATTTAATATATATTCAATACTTTTTATTAATTACGAAATCTTTTAGCTAGATTTTGCCATTTTCTCGCCAGAATAAGCAATTAAAGTTAAATGACCGACACGTAAACATATGTACATTTTTATTGCTAAAACGTGAACCGAGAAAGCTTCAAGCTAAAATAACCACATGTTTAAGTAGGCAATAAAATTGAGTTTCTGTTAATAGAATGACTACATTAAACGTCAAGACTTTTCAAGTAACAGAATCAAATATTTTGATGACTACTTTACTGGCATCGGTTTGAGATTACAAAAAGAATTACCAAATACAAGTATATGCGAATATAATGTTTATGCGACAGCAACAAAACAGATACAAACCTTTGAAACAACACGGGCAGTAGTAAAACCTCATCTGACATGAACCACTCACCTAAAAATATCATGAAGCAATAGAACAAAGTTCCATAAATGCAATTCGGCACTTCCAACGCCGACTCCTTGGGGATAATCCCAAAGCCCTTGGAATACCTGCGGTACAAGAAATAAAGCGGTCTCAGATGCTTCGAGGGAAAATAAATGAGCGGTTGCCTACTATGCCTATCAATGAAGAACACGGGGTGAGTTATTAAAGCTCAATTTCTTTAGACATCTTTCCTTTTAAATAATTGCTTCGCACAAAATGTATTGGATTGTATAAAAATTCTCTATATAATGGCTCTAATTTGCAAGTTCGGAAAGCACATACCTAGTCTTACATAGTCTGTATTAATACGACTAGGCAAATAAAATAACGTTGAAAAATGATGCGTACTGTGTTGTATTAGATAGTAAATAAACACCTATACTATTCTATCATTTTTAATTATCTTTTTAATCTACTTATATATTTAGATATGTAATCTATACAATTATTATAAGGAAGAAAGATTTGATTGTTTACATCGAATAGACTTCGAAACTAGTGGACATAATTTAAAATTTATTTTCGTTAAGGAAAGCTACGTCATACTTGCGTGACATAGGCTGCAATTTCCGCGGGTGAAGTCGCAGGAAAGCAGCTAGTTTGTATAAGAAAAATTATTTAAACTTTAGCAAACAATAAATTAGAGTTCCTATGACATAGTAAAATTAATTCTAAAATTCTCCCATAGAAACCGGCTCTAAAAACTTACTCTGAGGTGAGGACTCGGGAACAGCTGGCGTACTCGGAGATATCACACAAGGCCTTATATCCAGGTTTACTTTCAGCTGCCATCTCGACGTACAGGGCGTACGTTGACACTATGACACCGAGAATTCCTGTTGCTATGATAGCACGACTCCGCTGCAAGGTCTTCATGCCGCTAAAGAAAAATTTCACAAAAATCAATTTGTAGCTTGCATAGGTACATTATTTACTCATTGATCCATAGAGACTACTGCATAGAGTCAACCGTGTTTCTCTATGTTTATCTAGTTATATCTCTGTGGGGAGTTCCCACGAACTACATGGTAATACTACGCATGAGCATGGTCTATATTGTTAGTCCATGAGATGTGGTCCCTGTTACCCTCCAATCCGCATTGGGCCAGCATGGAGGGTCATGGCCCATCCTCCTTAACCATCCATAAGGAAGGCCTGAGCCCCTGCAGTGGGGACGTAAAAGGGCTGGTGATGATGATGGGGTCCCTAGCATAAGCTAACTTATAGTCCTGGTACTCACGGCTGCATATCAGGTTACCCAAATATATCAAATTTCATCAATTGATTTTTAACACAATGCTTTAAGGTTTAAAATGAAATAGAGAAATTTGGCAATTTTGTATAGCTTGACGTGACAATTTACTGTACGGAATTTTGTTTGTGATTCAATAAATTAATTTCAGAGTCTAGATTAAACAAAAGAGAATAATTTTAAATACCTACCAATTGCAAAAGTAATCAAGGTTAACTATTAATTAGTTATTAAAAAAAACAAATATATTAATTAATTGTTACTGATAAGTACTCGATATTATTAAACATGGAATTGGTAAGCGGGAGTTCATAAATTCTTAACGATATTCCACAATACCCCCTTAAATTTGGCGTGTTTGTAGTAACATCATTATTTTATATTCCAAATTAAAACATTCACAACATAATTATTTTGAATGCTGGAACATTATCGTACAGCAAACAGTATTAATACAAAGACCGTAAATTTACATTTAAATTTTTCCAGCATACATTTCAAGTTAATTAGCCATTACTTTAATACGCGGTGTCTATGTTTTTATTTTATTTTCTTTTTTATAGCAACGGAAACGATTTTAAGTCATCAACGACAATAAATGAAGTTTTAAGTGGACATCTACAGCAAATCATAAATAATAAAATAAATAAATTCGTGTACACTGTAAAAGAATAAGTACACTATATTATAAACTTCGATTATAATTTCGTTATCAAAACTAAACCGTGAATTTATAATATACTCAACCAAATGTATTAAGCACCCGGCCCTATCGACCAATGTTATTAAATAAGTTATTAATTGTTTTCTTCATAATCAGCTCTTTTTTACGTCCTCATTGCAGGGGCTCAGTGGGCCAATTCTACTAAATAAATTTTGATTAAATCGAATCGAAAACGGATCGAAACCGAAAGAAACTACAGTTTTTAATGGTTTTTCTATTCTACAAAGTGACATACGATAAAATTCCAGTTCTATTTTAGCTGGAATTGTATCGTATGTCACTTAGTAGAATAGAAAAACCATTAAAAACTGTAGTTTCGTTCGGTTTCGACCCGTTTTCGATCCGTTGTCGATTCGATTTAAACAAAATTTATTTAGTAGAATTGGCCCCCAGGCTTTCCTTATGGATAGTTGTAGCGTTAGGCCGCATCACTGTTTATTTCATCCTAGGTATCCGCATGCAAACTTTTTGTCTTTGATCTTCAACATCATTCATTTTTATAATTCACCTTTCGTCATTTGAAATTTTAAGTAATCCAATATGCTCCTTATGAATGTCAGTACGTAAAAAATTCATCCGTCAAGAACATGACAATTTAATCCATATTTAATCATTTTGCAGGTTACTACATGCTGGAAAGCAAACATGTAGTAACCTGCAAAACCAAAATGGATATTTAGAGTGGAAAATCTTTATATTTCTCCAAAAAAAAATCTTATTTCCATATAAATTGACTAAGGAACACTTTATTTGTTACCATGGACGTTTATAGGGATTATTTATCGAAAAAATACAAGTTTTTCTGCTCTGAAGAACAATTTTGGTTTTGCGGGTTACTACATGTTGGCTTTCCAGCGTCGATACTATCATATAAATAATCATTATTAAAATAAGAAACATGTCAACGTATATCTTCGTAAAATATCTACTAAGTTGTACCTATTACGGAAAACCCAGAAACGGGGTATGTAATTGTTCTATTTAACTATATATGTAGGTGATACGAACTGTTATATTTATTTTTTGTTTGTTACAGGTTTTTTTCTTAGTCAGCCTTTTTTCATTTGACTAAGCATCGAACCAGTCACATGGTTAAGGATGATGGGCTATAACCCTCCTCGCTGACCCAATAATGATTGGAGGGTATTAACGACTGCAAATGCAGCCGGGACCAACGACTTGACGTGCCTTCTGAAGCATGGAGTAAGTCGAGATAATAAATTTTGATCACCCATCCCATGATATATACTTGCGAAAGTTGCTTAAGCTACCACCGAGCTACTCAATTGTGTTACGTTCTTTTACTTGTAGAGAAAATTGGTTAATATGTGAGAAACGTTATGAAAACATATTATATAATAATACGTTTATTTCTCTCTTGAAAAAGTAACGGCACATACATAATACATATACTACTAGTAGTGTGGGATTTACACACATTTACAGTTTTCTCGAGATTGGTGTCTGTAATAACCTTTCACATGGCTCACTGATCGCCAGGGCAATGCATCAGTGATATTTTTTTATTATTTTAATATTATCATATTTAAAGTCTACCTTTTAAAATCACAATGTTCTAGATCACTTTTGTAAAAATAACGAATCGCAATGCCGACATTATCTGTTTTATGGCGAAGAAATGATTTACGTTATTTACTTTTACGTTATTACAAGATCCACATAGTTATAAGTAATATATATATATTAATATAATATATATATTATGGATTTGACCTAACTGGGTCTGAGGGATATTTATGGTTAGTTATTTTTCCCCATACAATACGCTATCATTTTTATCTGGTGCATTGACGGAAAGATGTAGCAGACAACAGAGGTAATAAGTAGATTAACAAACGGGCATTTTATATTCAGACTTTAAAATAAATTATGTTAAACTGAATGAACTTGATGGGGAGTAATGGTTAGCGCGCTCGGTTTGGAAAAACAGTTGTTACAACTCTTGCAATGACCGGTCATATAGGATGTGACCGAAAATTTATCATCTCGAGCTCGTCCGTTCTTCGGAAGGCGCGTTAAGCCAATGGACGTGGATGCATCTTATGCGCTGGGCTCGCGTGTAAGTCATAGCCAATTCTCTCTATTTAATTTGATTTGATTCCATCGATAGGAAAAGATTGAACCCCAGCATTGGGGAGGTTCATAGGCTGGGTGATATGTGTATTTAATCAACTCGAATCAATCGAATCAAAACAATAGGAAAGATAAACCATAATACTTTAAAATGCGAGTTTATTATTATTACAAAAAGCAATCGACCGTTTAAAAATCACTTCGTCTCTTGCCAATGTTCATATATTTCAATTTTATTTACGAAGGGGAGCAGTACGTTCGTAGACAGTCGCAAAGAAAAAAAAACATAAAAAGTCGCTCAGCGGTGCCTACCTACTTCGTTTATACCCACCCTTCGTGTACACTCGCCATTATACCTTTGCTATTTAAAATTAAAAAGAAAACAAACAGTCGGCTGGTGGTCTCGGTTTTATTAGCATAAGGCAATAAAAATAATCGTATTAGCACTTGAAGTCGAGCACGTAGTTTTGAACGGTTTCTTTCGACTACTAACTACTAATTTACTATAGGCAACATCTGATGGAAATGATGAGATATTTTTTATTGTATTTAAAAGTTATGGTAGCATGAACCTACCTACTTAGATCGCTTGAATACTAATTATAACTAATTACTAATCCAATCAGGTGGAGCAACGATCTGATAAAGGTCGAGGGAAGCTGCTGGCTGCTGGCTGCCGGCAGCACAGAACCGATTGTCATGGAGACCCATGGGGAATGCCTACGCCCAGCTGTGGGCGTCGAATGGCTGATATAATAGTGATGATGATGATGATGATGAATTACTCACCATAAAATTTTTGTGAAAATTCTCCGTAAAGCCCTAGGCTTAAAAAATGACTCATGGGTATATATTAGAAGTATGATTTATTTTTCTCATTTTCAATTACAGCTTATTTTATACAAACGAAAGTTAGTGATTTTTCATTAACGAGCCTTTCTGTAATACTGCCAACTGCTGTCTTGTTACATTATAAACTATTGTAAGATAATGAATAAACATTTACATACAATCGAAAGTTAAAAGATTCGTATAAAAATAAATAGTTGAAGTAGTTACTCAACTGCAAAACTTGAAGTTTAAGGCATTTTAATCCGAATCTTTCGATAAATTATGTATAAAGTCACTTAAGTCTTACAAACAAATGCTAATAATATTTTCCCACTTAGTTATTGAATAATTAAGCATTATTTTAAATGTATTTTAATGTATTGACCTTACTTCCAACCTTCACCGTTAATTTGGTGAAGTATTTATAAGACTAAATAATTTGATATCTAAATATTTTCTTTTTAATTTTATAATTACAATTTTAAATCAAGTGAAATAATATTGGCCAGTATCGAGATTAGCGTCTTCCATTTAAAAAGGATAAAGGTGGTACCTACCAACTTATATAAAACCATAGGTCACTTATGGCTGGTTTACACATATTAAGTAGATAAGTATAACCTAAGTAAAATTATTAACTTAATTTTAAGTGATTAGATAAGTGTAAACTCACAAATAATTTCGTAAAAATTCCAACAAACGCTACACTATGTAAATAACAAGTAAAGAAGTAACGACTAAAAATATAGCTGCTTCAACCATTTAAAAAAAAATTAATAATACGTTAAATTACCCAAAATAGAAGGCGCTAATTTAAAAGCTAACCGCATTTCATAAAAATAAATACTACAGTCTTACCTTGAAGTAAATCGTGAAACACGATAAGATGTTTTATATCAAGTTAATACGAATTTGATAAAAAAAAGAGCTATTGCTCAAACACGGCTTGGTTATAAGAGTGCTGGCTTAAGACTGATTAAATACTCTTTACGTCTTAATAATTTCGAGTTCAATCTTCATAGCATCATTAATATTCATAAATTATACCTACTTAACACAGAAGATAATATGTCTATGTGACGTAGGGTTG